AAAAAAAAAAAAAAAAGATACTGTATTTATTGATAGAGATATTTATATTAGTGTAAAAAAAAGGTTACAAAATGGTACATAATTATTTATAAAAACATTTAAATACAAACAGAAAAACTACAGAAAAAATGTTATATTTGAATAGAAGGATTAGAAGTGACATTTGTTTGCATACACATTCTAATTTTTCTACAAGAAAAATTCCTTGGGCCAGGCGTGGTGGCTCACGCCTGTAATCCTAGCACGCTGGGAGGCCAAGGCAGGAGGATCGCTTAAGGTCAGGAGTTTGAGACTAGCCTGAGTAAGAGCAAGATCCTGTCACTACTAAAAAGAAATTGGGGGGGGGGAAAGGGCAACATATGTAACCTAAACATCTGTATCCCCATGATATGCTGAAAAAAAAAAGAAAGAAAGAAAGAAAGAAATTAGCCGGACAACTAAAATAGAAAAAATTAGCCAGGCGTGGTGGCACACGCCTGTAGTCCCACCTACTCGGGAGGCTAAGGTAGGAAGATCACTTGAGCCCAGGAGTTTGAGGTTGCTGTGAGCTAGGCTGACACCATGGTACCCTAGCCCAGGCAACAGAGCAAGACTCTGCATCAAAAAAAAAAAAAAATTCCTCTTATTAAAAAAACTGAAAAATTAGAAATGGGTGAAAATAGACTTAACGGGCTAAATGTGAAAAGGGCAACGGGGTACAAACCAGGCAAAGGAGAAATACAGGAAGAGTAGGAACAAAGCCACTGAGGAGTAAAAGGCACGTTTAAGAATGGGAGAACAGATGGAGACAAGGCAGAAATGGCACAGACTCCCTGACAATATCTCACTCAGCATTAGATTAGTAAAGTGGTTTACCTATGCTTTAGCAGCTACTGACAAAACCATGTCATCTTATCTCATGTAAATAATGTGGAGTCTTAGACATCGGTCTTAAATTCAAGGCTGAAGTTGAGACTTCTTCCATTTGGCAATGAAAAGCCACTTAAGATTGTAACACAAGGATAGGGAAAATTATTTCATCAAGGTTGTACCTTGTCTGCTTGATGAAATGACTCCCTAAAGGCTGAGTTTTGCAGGAAAGACAATGAAATGAAAAAAGTGAACTAATGAACTAGTGCAGATTAGCACTTAAATGAAAGTGGTGGAGGGTAAAAAAAAAAAAAAAAAGATTGAGATTTTATACTTTAGTTGCTAGAACTGGTCCATTAGTAACTAACAGAAATAATGATGGGAGGATTGGTGATGTGGGTGGCCAGGTATGGGTAATGATACGCTTCAACTTTACATATGTACTAGTGAAGTGCTTCTAGAACATCTCCTTAATGTTAAGTAGCTCAATAAATATTTATTCAACGAAATGCCCAGCAAAAAGCTCAGGAGAGACATCACTGCTAAAGATACCTTTGCAGATACCCACAGAGGAATTGACTCAAACCACTAAAGGAAGATAACAAAGATGGTTAGTCAGCAGCTGCAGTAAAAATATATACATATATAAAAGAGAAAAAAGATAAGAGAGAAAAAATGTAAAGGGAAAAGGAGAGCAAAATTTTGCTTTGAAAAAACTAAAATATTCTTGTGAAAAACTCCCCAAGCCTTAAAGCCACACCTCCCTCGTGCCAACTTTTATAGTAACTAGGGTAAACTAGAGTAATAAAAGGATTACTCACTGGTTTCCAAATTCTGATGCTACAAAAAGGAAGCCTGTTTTAAGCACACACATGGCAGCAGCAACAGGCACAGTATCAAAATATTTGAGCCGGATCTCAGTAACCTGGAGAGAAAAGAATAAAGATTCTAGTAAACAGGCAAGTGAAGTAAGGCAACGAAAGTGAGCCCAGTATTATTACAAGACAGCATAAGTTGAGTAGCAAATAAAGAGCTTCATATCTAAACCAGGGGTCAGTAAACTAGCTCCCATGGGCCAGCCATGCCTACGTATTTACGTACTGTCTATGGCTACTTTTGTGCTACAGTGGCAGAGCTGAGGAGTTGAGACAGAGACTATACGGTCCACAAAAACTACAAATCTTTACTATCTGATCTTTAAAAAATGTTTGCCAATTCCTGACCAAAATAGCTATCTAAGAAATAGACCAACTTTTCAGAGCTCCTCCATAGGATGAAAGTAGTAATAGATCATGTATATTGCCAGCTTTCAGTAGAAATGGAGAGCTTTCTCTTCTTAGGCACACCAATTATTACCACCTGAAAGTAATCACTAAAAGTGGCATTACCAGTCTCATACTGTACATAAGGTTACCAGACCAGAAATTTGTTAACAAGACAGAGAAAACCTGTATTCATGTACCAGTCCCAACAGCAACCACTTTCTAAGTTCCCATTATCTTAACTTGTAACGTATTAACTGTTCTCTATCTCATCTCAGTGAGTAGTTGTACTGGATAAATGGTTTGCAAAACAGCTCTGTAAACCTTAAATGTACATACAAACATCAGTTTTTAAAACAAGGTTATTTAATTCTATTAAAATTGTAGGAATGGGCCAGGCATGGCAGCTCACACCTGTAATCCTAGCACTCTGTCTGGAAGCCCAAGGCAGGAAGATTACTTCAAGTCAGGAGATCAAGACCAGCCTGAGCAAGAGCGAGACCTTATCTCTACTGAAAATAGAAAAATCAGTCCAGCATGGTAGCACATGCCTGTAATCCCAGCGAGCAGGAGGATCACTTGAGCCCAGGAGTTAGCACTCTAGCCCAGGTGACAGAACAGGACTCCATCTCCCTCCCCCACCACCAAAAAAAACCTCACGATTTCTCCCTCCCATAAAAAAAAAA